TCAATTTCTCCCTCTCTTCTGCTTCCTTCCTCTGTCTATAAACACACTCAGATATTTCTCATTCTAAAAACCTTCCCTGGATCTAGTCACCACCTCAAGATTTTGTCCTTCCCTTTCCTTTTGCCACCAAACTGAAAACTGTTCATGTATACACATATCTATATTTCCTCTACAAGGCCACCAATAACAGTCTAATGCCACTTATTCCCTTAAATTATTTTCCTCTGCTAACTGCTTCTTCTGTTGGCTTTGTTAGGGCCTCTTCTCCTACTTCCAATAGTAGATTATTCTGAAACATACTGTTAACTAAGGAAGTAGGATATAAGATTACATGCATACTAGTTAAAAGAGGTATATTAAAAGCCTGGGAGGAAGAAATACTTCCAAATGATAAAATGGTTGATTTAGGTGATTAGATTTTTTTCTATTTTTACTTTCCAAATTTCCTATAATATTGTTATATTACTTTTGTAATTAAAATTAGTTTTTAACAGAAAAAGAAAATAAATATTGGTGCTATCCCCAATTCTACCCTTGGTCCTCTTTGTCCTCTCTTGCCTCTCTTTCTCCTTTGGTGATATCATCTATTCCCAAGCATTCAATCATACCCTCACTGACAATAACTCACATACCTATATCTTTAGTCCCTGCTGATTTCTTGGATTTCTAGCCACCTGTTGGAGGTACTTGCTACTATTTTACATTCAACATGATCTTTTCTATCTGAGACATTAGTAAGAAACCTTAACATATCCATAATATAAGCCATTTCTTCACTCTCCAAAGCTAACAGGTAAGTCCTTTTCACCCTGGGCTAAACCACTGTCCCTTAACTGGATAACTGCAACAACCCTCTAGTTGGTCTTTCCACTTTCTTCTTTACTCTGTTCATATACCAATGTGTATAATCTGCTTAAAATATGAAGCAGATCACGGTACTCCCCTCCTTAAAACTCTCCAATGATTTCCATCTCAATCAGAATAAAATCCTAAATCCTTACCATTGTCGATAGGGTACTACATAATCTTGACTTTAGCTGCATCTCTGAGCTCATCTCCTCTCCCTGGAGATATCCTCTGCTTCAACTCTCTTCTTTCTTTACCCCTTCCTCCCAACTCCGTACAACTCTCTTGCTTCAGGGCTGTTGCACATGCTGTTCCCTCTGCCTTGACTGTCCTTTATTCTCCCCGACTCCTCCACACCCATTTTTCGACATGAGAGAGTATAGCTTCTTCCTTCTCATCCTTCAGCTCTCAGCCTCAATATCGCCTCCTTACAGAGGCTTCCCCAGATCACTCTGTCAAAAGGAGGTCCATTCATGTTGGTCACCATTACAGCACCCTGTCCATTTCTTTCAGAGCATTTCTCAAAATTTTTAATTTCAATTATTTGTTTGCTTTTTGGTTTACTGTCAGTCTCCTTCTCTGGACTGTGGGTTCTATGAGAGTGGAGCCCACTTTTATTTTGTCCATTGCTGTATAACCCAGAGCCTGGAATAGTGCTTGACATGTAGTAGACCCTCAATAAGTATATGTCAAATAATTGATTGAGTGAATGACTTGTTATGATTATGATTTGGTTTCCTTGAATGTTTGCTAAGTATGTAAAATGGGCCAGACATTTTTACATAAACTACATCATTTAATTCTTTTGGAGGTATCTTAAGCAGAGATTTTTTAAATTAAACTTTTAATTTTGAGACAATTGTAGATTCATATGCAGTTGTAAAAATAATACATAGAAATCTCATTTACCCTTCACCCAGTTTCCTCCAATGGCAACATCTTGCAAAACTGTAGTACGCCATCACAACCTTGATATTGACATTGACACAATGCACTAGATTTATTCAGATATCCCAATTTTACTTGGACTCAGTTGTGTGTGTGTGTCTATTTACTTCTATACAGTTTTATCACATGTGTAGGTTCTTCTATCCATCACCAAAGTCAAGATACAGAACAGTTCCATCACTATAAGGATCTCTCATGTTGCCCTTTAAGACCACACACACCGTTTTCCCATACATCCCCTGTCCCATCCCATCTTGAACCCCTGGCAACCACAAATCTGTTCTCCACTTCTATAGTTTTGTCATTTCAAGAATATTATATACTCACACATCTATGGACAGCTAATTTTCGACAAGGGAGCCAAGAACGTACGATGGAGAAAGGAAAGTCTCTTCAACAAATGGTGTTGGGATAACTGGGCAGCCACATACAAAACAATGAAAGTAGACCATTATATTACACCATATGCAAAAATTAACTCAAAATGGATTAACGACTTGAATGTAAGACCTGAGACCATGAAACTTCTAGAAGAAAACATAGGCAGTACACTCTTCAACACTGGTCTTAGCAACATATTTTCAAGCACCATGTTTGACTGGGCAAGAGAAACAATAGAAAAAATAAACAAAAAAGCTTCTGGACAGCAAAAGAAACCATCAGCAAAATGAAAAGACAACCTAACAATTGGGAGAAGATATTTGTAAACCATATATCTGATAAGGGGTTAATTTCCAAAACGTATAAAGAGCTCATACACCTCAACAACAAAAACCTAACAATCCAATTGAAAAATGGGCAAAAGACCTGAACAGACATTTCTCCAAAGAAGATATATAGATGGCCGACAGGCACATGAAAACATGTTCAGCATCATTAACTATCAGGGAAATGCAAATCAAAACTACAATGAGTTATCACCTCACACCTATCAGAATGGCTATAATTAACAACACGGGAAACAACAAGTGTTGGAGAGGATGTGGAGAGACGGGAACTCTCATACACTGCTGGTGGGAGTACAAACTGGTGCAGCCACTATGGAAAACAGTATGGAGATTCCTCAAAAAATTGAGGTTAGAACTACCATATGATCCAGCTATTCCACTGCTGGGTATTTATCCAAAGAACATGAAAACACCAATGTGTAAAGATACACGCACCCCTGTGTTCATTGCAGCATTATTCACAATAGCCAAGACTTGGAAGCAGCCTAAGTGCCCATCAAGGGACAAATAGATAAGGAAGATGTGGTATATATACACAATGGAATACTACTCAGCCATAAGAAACGATGAAATCCAGCCATTTCTGACAACATGGATGGACATTGAGGGTATTATGCTAAGCGAAATAAGTCAGAGGCAGAAAGTCAAGTACTGTATGATCTCACTCATAAATAGAAGATAAAAACAACAACAAACAAACACGTAGAGACAGAGATTGGATTGGTGGTTACCAGAGGGGAAGGAGGGAGGAAGGAGGGCGAAAGGGATGATTAGGCACATGTGTGTGGTAATGGATTGTAATTAGTATTTGGGTGGTGAACATGATGTAATCTATGCAGAAATAGAAGTATAATTGTGTACACCTGAAATTTATACAATGTTATAAACCAATGTTACTGCAATAAAAAAAAAGAAAAGAAAGAAAAAAAGAATATTATATAAATGGAATCAGACAGCATATAACCTTGTGGGGTTAGATTTTCACTCAGGATAATTACCTGGAGATTTACCCAAGTTGTGTGTATCAATAGTTCATTCCTTTTTATTGCTAAGTAGTATTCTGTGGTATGGATTACCACAGTTTATTTAATCATTCACTTGAATGCTATCTGGGTTGTTTCTAATTTTTGACTGTTATGAATAAAGCTGCTATGAACATATGTGTATAGGATTTTTAAATTGAGATATAATTGACATATAGCATTGTATTAGTTTTAGGTGTACAACATAATGATTTGATATATGTATACATTGCAAAATGATTTTTACAGTAAGTTAACATCCATCACCACGCATAGTTACAATATTTTTTTCATGTGATGAGAAATTTTAAGATCTACTCTCTTAGCAACTTTCAAATATACAATACAGCATTGTTAACTGTAGTCACCATGCCATGCACAGGTTTTTGTGTGAACATAGATTTTCATTTCTCTGGAAGAGAAATTGCTCAGGAGTGCTATTGCTGTGTCGTGTGTTAGTCACATGTTTAGTTTTATAAGAAACTGTCAAATTGTTTTCCAGAGTGGCTGTACCATTTTACATTCCCACTAGCAATGTATGAGTGATCCAGTTTATCTGCATCCTCACCAGCACTTGGTGTTGTCACTATTTTTTTTTTATTTTAGCCATTCTGATAGGTGTGTAGTGATATCTCCTTGTACCCATAATATAGAGCAATTTTCTTTGCCCCAATGTTTAGCGATGTTGACATATTTTCATGAGCTTATTTGCCATCTGTGTATCTTCTTGATCTCTTCATGTCTTTTACCCATTTTCTAGCTGGATTGAATTATTTGCTGTTAAGTTTTTGGAGTTATTTAAATATTCTAGACACAAGTTCTTTCTTCAAATATGTGGTTTGCAGATATTTTCTCCCAGTCTGTAGCTTGTCTGTTCATCCCCTTAACATAGTCTTTCACAAAGCAAAAGTTTTTTTAACTTTGATAAAATCCAATTTACCAATATTTCCTTTTATGGATCATGCTTTCAGTGTAAAGTCTAAGAACTCTGACTAGTCCTGTATCTTGGAGGTTTTCTCTATTTTTTTTTCCAAATTTTTTATAGTTTTACATTTTACTTTTAAGTCTGTGATCCATCTTGAGTTAATTTTGTATTAGATGTGAGGTTTAGATGGAGGTTCATTTTTCTGCCTATAGATGTTCAATCGCTCTAGCACCATTTGTTGAAAAGTCTATGCTTCCTCAATGGAATTGGTTTTGCACCTTTGTCCAAAATCAGTTGGGCATATTTGTGTGGTTCTATTTCTAGGTTCTCTATTCTGTTCTATTGATCTATGTGTCTATCCTTCTTCCAATATGACACTGTTTTGATTACTGTGGCTATATAGTAGGCCTTAATATTGGGTAGAATGATTTTTCCCACTTTATTCTTCTTTTTCAGGATTGCGTTAATCTAGGTACTGTGCCTTTCCATATAAATTTTAGAATAATCTTATCTATGTCCACAAAAAAAAACCTTGCTGGGATCATTTAATTTAACAGCTTTGTTGAGATATAATTGGCATACAGCAAAATTGCACATATTTAAAATACACAATTTAGTAAGATTTGACATATATACACACACCACAATTAAGATATTGAACATATCCCTCACTCTTTAAAGTTTCCTCAGGCTCCTTTGAAATCCCTCCCCTTTCAGCCTTGTCTCAAGGCAACTACTGACCTGATTTCTGCCATTACGTAATAGTTTGCATTTCTTAGAGTTTTACATAAATGTAATGATATGGAATAGTTTATTCCTTTTTAATGCTGAGAGGTATTCTATTGTATGTATTCTATTGTACACGTCACAGTATTTATCCATTCCCCAACTGAGAGACATTTGAGTTGTTTCCAGTGTTTGACCACTACAAATAAAGTTTATATGAACGTTGATGTACAAGTATTTATCTTGACACGTTTTAATTTCTTCTTGGGTAAAAACGTAAGAGTAGTATGGCTGGATCATACGGCAAATGTATGTTTAACTTTTTAAGAACCTGCCAAACTGTTTTCCAAAATGGTTGTACCATTTACATTCCCACCTACAATGTATGAGAGTTCCAGTTCCTCCACCTCCTTGTTAACTCTTGGTATGGTCAAAATTTTAATTTTAACCATTTTAATAGTACATATCTCATTGCAGTTTTATTTACATTTCCCCAATGACTAATGATGTTGAGAATCTTTTCATGTGATTATTTGCCATCCATATGTCTTCTTTGGTGAAATGTCTGTTCATATCTTTTGCCCATTTTTTCTTTTTTTTTTTGTGAGGAAGATCAGCCCTGAGCTAACATCCATGCCAATCCTCCTCTTTTTGCTGAGGAAGATCGGCCCTGAGCTAACATCCATTGCCAATCCTCCTCCTTTTTTCCCCTTATTCTCCCCAAAGCCCCAGTAGATAGTTGTATGTTATAGTTGCATATCCTTCTAGTTGCTGTATGTGGGATGCTGCCTCAGCACGGCTGAACAAGTGGTGCGTGGGTGCGCACCAGGGATCCCAACCTGGGCCGCCAGTAGTGGAGCGTGCGCACTTAATCGCTAAGCCATGGGGCCAGCCCTGGGTTGTTTGTTTTTTTTAGTGTTAAGTTTCAACAGTATTTTATATATTCTGGGTACTGGTCCTTTACCAGATATATGCTTTGCACATATAGTTTCTCATTTTTTTTGTGGATTGTCTTCCTATTTTCTTCAACATACTTTTGAAGAACAAAAATTTTTCATTTTTATTAAATCCAATTTATCAATTTTTTGTGTGTGTGTGAGGAAGATCAGCCCTGAGCTAATATCCATGCCAATCCTCCTCTTTTTGCTGAGGAAGACTGGCCCTGAGCTAACATCTGTGCCCATCTTCCTCCACTTTATGTGGGATGCCGCCACAGCATGGCCTGACAAGCGGCTTGTTGGTGCGCGCCTGGGATCTGAACCCAGGTCTCCAGCAACGGAACACGTGCACTTAGCCACTACGCCATTGGGCCGGCCCTATCAATTTTTTTATGGATTATGTTTTTGGTGTCATATCTAAGAAACTTTTGCCTAACCCAAGTTCACAAGGGTTTTTTCTATTTTCTTCTAGAAGTTTTATATTAGATCTATGATCTTCTATCTAGAAGTATTACGTTTAGGTCTATGATCCATTTTGAGTTAATTTTTTTATAGATGCAAGGTATGGATAGAATTTCTTTTTTTACATACAGATATACATCCAATTGTTTTAACATCATTTATTAAAAAGATTATTGTTTCCCCACTGAATTGTCTATTTATATTTGTGAAAAATCAGTTGTCCATATATGCATAAATCTATATGTGGACTTTCTATTTTGTTCCATTGATCTATTTATCTATTTTGCACTAATATCATGATGTCTATATTACTGCAGCTTTAAAAGAAGTCTTGAAATCAAGTAATATTACCCCTCTAACTTTGTTCTTCTTCAAAGTTGTTTTAGCTATTCTACGTCCTTTGCATTTCCATATGAAGTTTAAGATCAGCTCATCAATTTCTATAAGAGCCTGTAGGGATTTTGATTGGGATTGCATTTGTATCTATAGATTAGTTTAGGGAGAGTTGACACCTTGATAATGTTGAGTCTTCTGCTCCATAAACATGATATATCTCCCCAATTATTTGGGTCTTCAATTTCTCTCAGCAATGTTCTGTAATTTTCAATGTTCAGATCTTTCACATCTTTTGTCAGATTCATCCATAAGTATTTTGGATTAGTTATTGGTTTAGTTATCACTAAGTATTTTGTTGCTATTGCTAATGGTGTTGTTTTCTGAACTCGGCTTATCGATTTTTCATTGCTAGTATATAGAAACACAATTTTTATATATTGATCTTGTATTCTGCAATCTTGATAAACACACTTAAATGTTTAAGCAGATTTTCTGAAAAATTCTATAAGATTTTATACATAGATTATTATGTCTGTGAATAAAGATAGTTTAACTTCTTCCTTTCCAATCCGACTTCTTTTATTTCTTTGTCTTGCCTGATTGCACTGGCTAGAAATGTTGAATACAATGTTGAATACAATGTTCCTGTTCCTGATCTTTCACCAAGAGGTATGATACTAACTGTAGTTTTTTTGTAGATGCTTTTCATCAGGTTGAGGGAAGTTCTCTTCTCTTTCTGCTTTGCTGAGAATTTATATCAGAAATGGATACTGAATATTGTCAAGTGCTTTTTCTGCATTTTTTAAGATGATCATATAGTTTTTCCTTTTTAGTTTGTTAATATAGTGAATTACATTGACTGATTTTCAAATGTTAAACCATCTCTGCATTTCTGGGAAAAATCACACTTTGTCATGATGTATTATTATCTTTTTTATGAATTGTTGGATTCAATTTGCTGAAATTTTGTTTAGAAAACTTTTGTATCAAGGTAGTGCTGGCCTCATAGAAAATATTTTACTATCAATTGTTATGAGTTGGGAAATATTCCCTTCTCTTCAAATTTCTGGAGAAGTTAGTATAGAATTGGCACTTTTGGTAGATTTCACCAGTGAAGTCATTTGGGGCCTAGCATTTCTTTATTGGAAGATTTTTTTTTTAGAATATTTTCCTTTTTTATTAATTTTCCTTTTTAAAAATTTTCTTTTGTGGCAAGAGTTTTAACTACCAATTCAATTTCATTAATATAGGGCTATTTAGATTATCCAATTTTTCTTATGTGAGCTTTAGTAGTTTGTTTCTTTCAAAGAATTCATCCATTTCGTCTAAATTGTCAAATCTATAGGCATATAGTTGTTCAGATTATTCCATCATCATTTTAATATTCTGTGGAATCTGTAGTGATGTCACTTCTCTAGTTTCTGGTATTAGCAATACATGTCATCTCTATGTTTTCTTGGTCAGTCTGGCTAGAGGTTTATCTATTTTCTTTATCGTTTTAAAGAACCAGCTTTTCCGAGAAATAAACCCATGCTTATATAGTCAATTAATCTATGACAAAGGAGGGAAGAATATACAATGGGGACAAGATAGTCTCTTCAATAAATGGTGTTGGGAAAACTGGACAGCTACGTGAAAAGAATGAAACTGGACCACTTTTCTTATACTGTATACAAAAATAAACTTGTAATGAATTAAAGACTTAAATGTAAGACCTGAAGCCATAAAACTCCTAGAAGAAAACATACAACGTAAGCTCCTTGACATCAGTGTTAGCAATATTTTTTTGGATCTGTCTCCTCAGGCCAGGGCAACAAAAGTAAAAATAAACAAATGGGACTACATCAAACTGAAAAGCTTTTGCACAGCGAAGGAAACCATCAACAAAATGAAAAGACAATCTAACAGTTGGGAGAAGATATTTGCAAATGGTATATCTGATAAGGGGTTAAAATCCAAAGTATATAAAGAACTCAATAGCAAAAAACCACACAATCTGATTAAAAAATGGGCAGACGATCTGAATAGACATTTTTCCAAAGAAGACATACAGATGGCTAAGAGACACATGAAAAGATGCTCAACATCACTAATCATCAGGGAAATGCAAATCAAAACAACAAGATATCACCTCACACCTGTTGGAATGGCTATTATCAAAAAGACAAGAAATAACAAGTGTTGGTGAGGATGTGGAGAAAAGGGAACCCTTGTGCACTGTTGGTGGGAATGTAAATTGGTGCAGCCACTATGGAAAACAGTATGGAGACACCTCAGCTTATTTTACTACTCAGCCATAAAAAAAGAAAGAAATGTTGCCATTTGTGACAATATAGATGGACCTAGAGAGTATTACACTAAGTAAAATAAGTCAGAGAGAAAGACAAATATTGTGTAATTTCACTTATATGTGGCATCTAAAAACAAAACAAATGAACAAACAAAAAACAGAAACAGACTCATAGACACAGAGAACAAACTGGTTGCCAGAGGGGAGAGAAGTAGAGGGATGGGTGAAATAGGTGAAGGGGATTAAGAGATATGAACTTACAGTTATAAAATAAATAAGTTATGGGGATGTAATGTACTGCATAGGGAATATAGTCAATAATACTCTAATAACTTTGCATGGTGACAGATGGTAACTAGACTCCTCATGGTGATCATTTCATAATGTATATAAATGTTGAATCACTATGTTGTACACCTGAAACTAGTATAATATTGTATGTCAACTATACTTCAATAGAAAACAAAAAAAAGAACCAGCTTTTGGTTTCATTGATTTTTCTCTGTTGTTTCCTGTCATTGATTTCCACTCTGATTGTTATTATTATTTCCTTTCTTCTGCTTATTTTTGGTCTAATTTGCTCTTCTTTTTGTAATTTCTTAAGGTTGAAGCTGACGTCATTGGCTTTAGACCTTTTGCTCTTTTCTAATATAGCTGTTTTTGTACTATAAATTTTCCCCTTCACACTGCTTTAGTAGCATCCCACAAATTGTGATATGTTCTGTTTTCATTTTTGTTAAGATTAACATATGTTCTAATTACCCTTTAGATTTCTTCTTTGACTAATGGGCTATTTAGAAAGGTGTTATTTTGTTTTTAAATATTTGGAGATTTTCCAGGTATCTTTCTGTTACCAATTTACTTTTTTTATTGAAGTAACATGGTTTATAACATTATATAAATTTCAGGTGTACATCATATTTCAATTTCTGTATAGATTACATCATGTTCACCAACCAAAGACTAATTACAATCCATCACCATACACGTATGCCTAATTGTCCCTTTTGATTTCTAATTTAATTCCATTTTGGTGAGAATACATACTTTCTATAAATTGAATCTTTTTAATTTTTTAAGGTTTCTTTTATTGCCTTGAATATGGTCTATCTTGGTGAGTGTTCCATGTAAACTTGAAAAGAATAAGTATTGTTCTGTCATTGGCTGGAATGTTCCATAAATGTGAATTAGGTCGAGTTGGTTTATAGCATTTAAATCTTCTATATCTTTACTGATTTTCTACTTGTCCAAATGTTGAGAGGGGGGTATTGAAATCTCCAATCAAAATCATGGATTTTTAAAACTTTTCCTTGCAGTTCTATCAGTTTTTCCTTCATGTATTTTGGAGCTCTTTTATTAAATACATATATGTTTAGGAATGTTATTCCTTCCTTATGAATCAAACCCTTTATCATTATGAAATGACCTTCTTTATTCCTAGTAATATCTTTTGCTCTGAAATCTGTTTTATCTGATATTAATAGCAACAGCAGATTCCTTTTGACTAGAGTTACCATGGTATATTTTTTCCATTCTTTTTCGGGTAACCTATTTGTATCTTTATATTTAAAGTGTGTTTCTTATAGGCAGCAAATATAGTTGGGTATTGCTTTTTTATCCAATTTGATAATCTCCACCTTTTCACTGAAGTGTTGATGTCATTTTCATTTAATGTAATTTTATATATGCTTAGATTTAAGTGTATCATTTACTATTTGTTTTCTATTTGTTCCATTTGATTTTTGTTTCCTCTTTCCTCTTTTTTTTGCCTTCTTTTGAATTATTTAAATAATTTTCATGATTCCATTTTGCCTTTTTTAGATTATTGGCTATAACTCTTTGTTTTGTTATTTTAATGGTGGCTTATTCTTCAGACATTATACATATAATGAATACTACAAACAACTTTATGCCCATAAATTTGACACCTTCGATGAAGTGGACCAATTCCTGGACGGATACAAATTATCAAAACTCAGTCAAAAAGAAATAGATAACCTGAATAGTCTAATATCTCTTAAGGAAACTGAGTTAGTAGTTAAAAATCTTCCAGGCCTAGGTGGTTTTACTCACAAATTCTACTAAACATTTAAGAAAGAAATAACATTGATCATACACAATCTCTTCCAAAAAATAAAAGAGGAGGGAGAATTTCCCAACTCATAATATGAGCCCAGTGTTACCCTAATACCAAAGCCAAACAAAGACACATAGAAAGAAAACTACAGACCAATATTCCTCATGAACATAAAATGAGACCAGTCTGCATGGTTGTTTGTTTTTCTAAATTCAGTTATGCAGGTGCATAATAGGCGGAGAGTTGGATTTAACCAATATTGAGGTTTAGCCATTTGAATAAGAAGTGAGAGAGGGGCAGAGGAACTGAGAGCACATGTAGAAGCATTAATATAATGATTGACCATAGAATTTATGCTGGGTCGGGAGAGAAACCAGGACATGAAGGAGAGTGAGAGTAGTAGATTCAATGAGTGGGGCTGAAACATTATTAGAGTGGGGGAATGATAAGGAAAGAGTTAGAAAAAAGGAGGTGGTAGTTGAAGAGTGGGATGCTTGAAATTGAGAGAAGACAGGAATAGTAGCTTTTAGTAATATTAAGGTTGATGGTATAGCCATGTGGGTTAGTGGATAAAGTAGAGTGGAAGACAAGATAATTAGAGGAGAAGAGGTCAAGGAACTGAGAGGCCAGACTATTAAAAAGATCATGTATGTGGATACTGATATAACCAAGAATTATTACAGGAATAGTGTTAGAGGGAGTGACTGTGAACCAGATGCTAAAATCTTCAAGAAGTAAGTGTGAGTGATCCAAGGGTCAGTGGCTGATTGCCCCGAGGACAGAGAGTGGGTGATATAATCTGTTGACATGAGATTCAGAGCTGGGGGTTGTTATTGAGGAGGGAGGAGAATGTCCTGGAAGTGAAAACGAAGAGGACACCCCCTCCACTTCCAGGTCTTGTGGTGATAGAGGAGTGGGAGGGAAAACAGTGTCATTTAAGAGGATTTCAGGGAGAGTAAAGACCTTAGAGAAGAGTTTTATTTCAGTTAAGCAAGAAGATGAAGATAATATATAAAGAAGCAGTTGTAGATATAGGGGAATTTGGTGATGATTGTCTACAAATTCCAGAGAACATAGTAGAAGTATTTCATAAATTGGGGAAAGGTAAGAGATAGAGTCATAAAAGGGATAGACATAGCTGTCTGAGTACACTCAAACTGAAGAATGACTTGGGAGTCTTAGGGTGACTGACATCAGAAAGCAGAATCAGTAGGATGTATGTATGTGTGTGTCTGTGTGGAGAGAGAGATTTATTACAAGGAATTGACTCACATAATTGTGAAGTTATGTGTGGACTGGCTAAAAAGATCCAAAATCCATAGGGCAGGCAGTCAGGAAAGGAAAATTACAGGCAGATTAGAACCCATAGCACAGGCTGAAACTGTTGTCTTCAGGTAGTCAGGAAGAGAAGATCATGAGCATGATAGAACTTTATGGTCATATCAGCCAAAGCTGTGATCCACAGGTGGAAATTGTTCTCTATCCCAGGGAAATATCAGCTCTGCTTTTACCACCTTCCAATGGACTTAGCTAGGTCGACCCAGATAACCTAGGAAAAAAATCCCTTACTTAAAGTCAACTGATTAGGGGCTTTAGTTTCACCTGCAAAATATCTTCACAGCAACACCTAGATTAGTGTTTGACTGAATAACTAGGGACTGTAGCCTAGCCAAGTTGACACATCAAAAAAGTCATCACAGGGGCCAGCCCCTTGGCATAGTGGTTAAGTTCAGTGTGCTCCACTTTTGCAGCCGAGGTTCACGGCTTGGGATCCCAGGTGTAGACCTACATCACTCATCAGCCATGCTGTGGCTGCAACCCACATACAAAATAGAGGAAGATTGGCACAGATGTTAGCTCAGGGCGAATCTTCTTTAGCCAAAAAAAGAAAAAAAAAGTCATCACAATATTAATTCTTCCAATCTATGAACATGGGATATCTTTCCATTTTTTTCTGTCTTGTTTAATTTCTTTCATCAATATCATATAGTTTTCAGCATACAGATTTTTCACCTCTTTGGTTAAATTTATGCATCAGTATTTTATTCTTTTTGATGCTATTGGAAATGAGATTTTTTTCACAATTCTTTATTAGTGTATAGAAATGCAACTGATTTTTGTATGTTGATTTTGTATCCTGTAACTTTATTGAATTTGTTTGTTGGTTCTAACAGTTTTCTGGTGAAGTCTTTAGGGTTTTCTAGATAGAAGATCATGTCATCTGCAAACATAGACAAGTTAACTTCTCCCTAACTGATTTGGATGCCTTCAGATTCAATGCAATCCCTATCAAAATTCCAATTGCATTTTGCACAGAAATAGAAAAAACAACTCAAAAATTTGGTTGAAACCACAAAAGACCATGGATAGCCAAAGCAATCTTGAAAAAGAATGAGGAAGGCATCACACTTCTGATTTCAAACTATACTACAAAGCTACAGTAATCAAAACAGCATTTGGCATAAAAACAGACACATAGACCAAATGGAACAGAATTGCAAGCCCAAAAAGAAACCTACACATATATTGTCATCTACACTTTGACAAGGTTCCAAGAGTGCACAATGGAGAAAGGATATCTCTTCAATAAATAGTGTTGAGAAAACTGAATACCCATATGCAAAAGAACAAAATTGGACTTTTATCTTATACAAAAATTAACTCAAAATGGATTAAAGACTTAAATGAAAGACCTGAAACCATAAAACTCCTAGAAGAAAATATAGGGAAAAAGCTCCTCTATGTGGGTCTTGACAATGACACCAAAAGCACAGGCAAAAAAAAAAAGCAAAAATAAGCAAGTGGGACTACATCAAACTAAAAAGCTTCTGCACAGCAAGAGAAACAAAATTA